TCCAAATTGGATACAAATATTCCAAATTGGATAAACCAAGTATGAATAAAAGGGTCCAGTATAGTTTCAAGATGCTTCTGCTGAATCTCAGGGCTTTGTAGGTTTTGCCTTCAAATAGAACAGGGTTCTGGGGTCAGTTTCTTATCTGGAATCTAGAGGAACTCAGAAATGGAACTAAAAAAAAGGTTTACTTTTTTCTTTTTGTTTTTTAGTCACACTTATATCCTTAAACTAATTGTAGGTGCTTTAGGGGACATCAAAGACTGAAGAAAGCAGAATATGTCTGTTTCTAGGAGAAGCTGTTTATCTGCCCCTGTGTCTGATAGGTCACTGGACCCCAGACAGCATGAATCTGGCCTTCAGCTGTTCAGCAGATGATAGGAAAGACACTTGGAGACAGTCACCACCCACCCATGTAGGCACACAGCTACCATTGCAGTATGCCGTGTTATTGTTATTGTCAATTAAAGAAACGGATGCTTTATGACACTTGCACAATAATAAAAATGAAATCTTACAAGTTAGACCATCATTAGGAAATAGCAGGATTGAATGCAAGCATAGCATGTCAGTTTTTATGTCCTGAAGCAAAAGAATGAGTAATTTGTTCACACAGCCAAAAAAGTGCCAAGTTATAAAAAATATGAATCGAATTCCATTGGATTGACAGTTTGCCCACAGCTCCTTATTTGTCAAGAAGTTTGTATACAGTCTCAGGAGGTTTTGCATGGTTTTCTATTAAGGCACAGTATTCTGGGAGGCCTTTTGACTCTTTCCAGGCTAAAGGATGTTTTCTGGCGTGAAATTATGGAATTGCTCCATGAGGGTAGAAAGTCTGAAACCAGAGCCCTCCCCTACAACCCACACAGGAAAAACAAGTAGAGGCCTCTGCTGCAGAACTGCGGAAGATGAGTAGCTGGTTAATGGCCAACATTTATGCCTGGAGAGAAGTGAGTGGAGGTAAATTACTAGCAAAGAAAAAAAATCCATTATCAATAGTAAAGTGAAGAAATCCTGTCTGTCAGGCACAGCTTTATAGTAGAACAAAAATCTCTGAGGTTCTCAAATTACCTATCAGTAGGCTTTGCAGGGAAGAAGCCATCAGTGGTCCCTGTTTATCAGTGAAAATTCTCATCATGTGCAAAGGTGGGGTCTCCCTTTTCTATAGCAGCTTCCACCACAGAAAGCCACAGTGTGGACGTGGAAAGGTGAGGAAAGACTTTGGTTCCGGGCTTCAGCCAGGTGTGCAGCCGGGCTCAGAGAGGCTCTGAGCCAGAGGCTACAACAGCTCAACTGTGCTCCTCATTGTGCTCACAGAGGACATAGGCAGTCAGCAGCACCTCAAAGTCTGCATTCGGGACGGATGAAAGGAAAAGAAGCATCTCGACTGAACAAGTCTCAGAACATGTGTGGTGTGAACAAAACTGTCTAAACTGAATTTCAGGCTGTCCAAGGGAAAAGCTACTCAAAAGCCTTTTATAAAATGATGTGTGAGGAATGCTAATTCATAATGTTGAGTATTTTAAAGTCACTTATTTTCAAGTGACTTCTGAGTGATAACCAGAACCTTCAGAGAAAACCCAAGATTGCTCCTTTAAGGTTAAAATAGCAGTGATGGTGTACTAAGATCAGAACTTTCTCAGAGAATTTTGAGTAAAAGTTACTCTGTAACTAAAATCGTCATGTTTCATTTTTGCTAGTAACTAACACTTGGCACATCTCAGAGCAGTATCCACAGACATCCAGGGCTTCACACAACCAGATTTATTTGGAACTCTATTCACCACCTTTCTTTTTCTTTTCTTTTCTTTTTTCTTTTTTTTTTTTTTGTTTTGTTTTTTGTTTTTCTTTTTTATCCATACCGGGAATCGAACTCACGACCACCTGCTTGCAAGGCAGGTGCTTATGCCGCTGAGCTAAATATCCACAAAACCGAAAACAATCCAGGTTCAAAATGATTTGTGCACCCATAGCATCTAAACTCATGCTGGAAGTATTTGGGCAGGAGCCAGTCACTCTAAATATGAATAATAAGTGGTTAATAGAGCATCTTCACGTTTGGCAGGAACAAACAATCACCTCTTCAGGAGAAACTTTCTTCCATATAAACAATGCATATGAATGAAGGGGGTTTGTAATCAGTGCAGGAATCCAAGCAGCCAAACTGACAAAGTTTGCGATTTTATTATCTGAGCTCAGTGACAACCCGCAAAGACCTCTCTTTCAGAGTCAGATCAAGTGGCCCCAAACTCGAGGACTACAGAGCTTTTAAAGCGGAAAACCACAAAGCAAGACATCCTATTGGGAACAATTTAGCTAGAATCTTACATTAATTTTGGTTTTGTTGAGTAGGTTATGTTTTTTTTTTCTTGTGGGTGCAGCTCATTCTGCTTTTCTCATGGGACTTGAACCCTGAGTAATTTTTCACACTTCTAGGTCAAATACAAGGCAGAAGAAGGAGTCAGTTATGCCAGGCTACAACAGTGAAGGAGTCTTTCAATGATTGATGGACTCAGACCTATAGAATCAGTGATCTATAAAACCATAGCTTTTCTAGATCACAATGTGTTTGGCAAGATTCTGGAAGACCAGAGTTCTTTATCTTTCTCTTTCCACAGAAGGTAATTTTAGTTCATCTGATGGATGAGCATTGTTCTTCTCCTTGTTCCCCAGCAAAGACTGAAGCTGAGTCAGTCCCTGCTTTTCCAGATGGAGAAGGCCTGAGCAAAGCTCCCTGGAAATGTTCCTAATGGCAGAAGGCAGTCAGGGTGAAGAGGCTCATCATCCAATGCAGAGGATTCTGCTTTTCTTTCAGTAAATAAGAAGGGCTTGTCTTGTCACTTCTCTTGTTGCTGAGACACAATATCTAACATCTGAAACTGAAAGGATTGGCTTACAGGGCATGGAAGTTTCAGTCTGTAGCTAACTGGCTCCAAGGAGGGACAGAATGGCCCAGGGTTATAGCGGAAGTGAAGCTTCTCAAAGCATGGCAAACAGAAAGCAGAGACAGGTCAAAGGAGAAGGAAAGCAGGGAGATGAACCCTTGCAGGCCTCGGCCCCAGTGACTTCATCTCCTAACTGCAAAACAGTCACAGCTCCCACAATCCAATCACCTTCCAAAAGCCCCACCTATCAATGCATGAGGCTATTAGGAGACTGCTAGACATGAACTACAACAGGGTGTAACGGGACTCCACTGAGACTCTCAACTAATAATCGAGCAGTGGGAAATGCTGGACTCTTGCCGAGCTAAGGGAAACGGTTGATTCTCTATCAAATACAAAATTCCAAGAGCACGAGAACAGTGTGTGATTGTCAATATTTGGTGTAGGAACCAAATGGTAAGACACAGGAATGCAGAGTCAGTAGAAAACACTTACTTATTCAAACTGACACCAAGAGGAGCTGTTGCCTCTTTGATTGGTTTAAAGGACAATCAATCATTTAGAGAATTTCCGTGGAGAAAGACGATTTAATTGACTGGGATTAGGTAAACCCAATTAGGGTTGCACTGTATAAATTGCCCAATATTTTTAGGGGACATGGGGAGGAAGATAAAACAGTAAGAAGTTTGTAGGGTGTATCTTAAAGGTAAAGATAAAATTCTAGTACACTGCTAATCTACAATTAGAAAATAACTTAGCAGAACACCGTTAAGCATGTAGAAAGTGCTGTACTTTGGTTAAGGGGACAGGAGAGATGACAAAAGCTGCTTCTACCTCCTGATCAAAATGTTTCTTGAGCTATTGTATGTTAACTCTGGCTTAATTATTGACTATTGCTTTATGATAGGTAAAGTGTGGAGAGCTGTGGACACCCCCAAAATCAGAAAAGGCTGGGAATAAACTTCAAGTTCTTCATCTGCGTTCTTTGTTAGTAAAATATACTAAGAATAAAAGTGAAAAGCAAGTGTATTAATGGACCTGAAAACTCCAAATATAATTCTATTGAATGACTTCAGAGCAGGTACAACAGTTGAATGGAAGATCACACCTGGTACATTAATAAGCAGCCAGGTTTGCTTAGCTGGGTTCAATGTATGCAGGAAAAGAGATTCACTTGGCATGTGAAAGCACCTCCTACTGAGATATTTGTAGAAAGAGATTTTGATTCAAACACGAAACCCAATTAAAGATGCACAAGTTGGTTTTTAAAAAGTACTTTGGATGGGATCCAAAAAGGGACATTCTCAACTTCTTGGGAGGATGTGAACAGCTCTTATGTCCTCCTTGGTCTTCTTTTGTTTGATTCAAAGCCTATGGCATGGATTTTAAACTATAACTCAGAAAGACAGAACAGGTAGAGGAGCACACTGCTGTGGACACACAGGGTCCTGCAGAGGTGAGAAGTGGCGGATAGGGAGCTGCCTAGGTCAGGAGGAACAGGGAGAGCCAGAGAATTTATGCAATGACCCAGTGCTCAGGGTTGAGGGATTTAATTACTCCTCTTCCTGCTTCTCATTCTCCAGCCCATCCTCACTGTCAAAAGGGATAAAACGTACCACTGAACCACACACACCACAAAGGAAAGAACCCTTGGGTATCAGAAGCTTCGGACACTGTTCCATTCATTCCAGAAGGCTCTGGTAAAGATGTGTCCTGACCTCTGTAGTAGGAATTGGGCCTGAGTGTGACCATTCCATCATAGGATTCTTTCCCAACAAATAAAATTAAAATGATTAATTGAAAGGCAATATATTCAAATCTACTTTGCATGTTTGACGAAATTGAATTAGCAATTAGTTATTGAAGCCATAACTGATAGAGATTGAGTTGAAATACGCAGAAGGACCAGCCTGAACTTTCCTCCATGGCTGTGTAAGAACAACACTAAGGCTTCAGTCCCATGGGCTGCCTTCTAACGCTTAGCTTCCAGGACTCCTGATACCTGGGGCAGGGCTTACGTATTCTATAAACTACTGCTGGGGACTGAGAAGGATGCACAGAGCCACAAAAGGAAAACTAGGATTGGGGAGAAAGAGGTGAGGGAAAAGTGAGACATTTTCAGTTTTATTTATTTATTTATTTATTTATTTATTTATTTATTTATTTTTGAGACATTTTCAATTTTAGAATAAGGCCTTGAGTGTTCCAAACCAGGTGCAATCGGTTACTGTGAGGGACTCAAACAGAATTCAAAACATGACAATATTGTTTCTAACTTCCTACTTTTGGAAAAGATAGATGTTGATGAGCAGAGCTCAGAAGGAAAAGGTTAGCAGATTTGAAAATGTGGTGCCTTTTTAAGGTAAAGTTAGGAAATGTGTTATTCTGTTGGGTGGAATGAGCCTGCATGTAATCCCAATAATCTGGGAGGCTGAGGAAGCAACAATCTGAGTAAAGCCTGGGTAATTTAGCAAGATCCTATCTCAAAATAGAAAATCAGAAAGGGCTGTGGATGTAATTAAGTGTGCAGGCCTGGGCTCAGCCCCAAGTGCTGCTCAGAAAAGGCGTGTCAGGCAGTGTACTCATGGTGACTAAGCATGGTTTACTCTACAAATGCAGACAGCTTTTCACATCACAAAGGACCAAGAAGACGGAAAATTCTACAGAGAGATGTTCAGTCACACTTAGTATCTGATTTCCATTGAAGTGATAATATGGACAAGGCTTATTATTATGTTTCCTCATTTGACCCACCTGGAGGATATTCTCCATGTTACTCATGTGAGTGATTGAACTCAAGGTGAGCCTTCCCAAACTGATGCGTGCAGGACACCCTTAGCCTGAGAGGTAGAGGTAAGTGTGTTTGCTTTTTCCTAGTCCTGTGGAAGGGCTGATTCACCTGGATAATTCATGGGACTGCAGTCCTTTTAAAGAAATCTGGTGTTCCTGTAGCATGGTAATGGTTCAAACAAAAGCTGAAATAGCAAACCTAGTGTTTCAGTTGTCCTTGGTGTCTGAATCAGTTGGGCTATTTCCAAGACTCCTTATCCATGTTGAGGGCTCCACCTGGTCCACTTCCAGCTCTGTAGCCCTTCTTCATCCTGTCAAAGAAAAGCAAAGACAAAACGCTTGTGGGGAACAGAAACTACTTTAAATCTAGAAGTTGATTATAGAAAACAAACTTACTTTTAATGTTACTTCATGTTAAATGACCCTGAAAGATCAAGATGACGAATGTCATTCAAATTGATAAATGGTGCTTTTTAAATTTTTGTTTAACAGTTACATTTGCTGCTCTCACACAGTGTACTTGGCTCAGTGGTGTTATCTGCCAGCTCTTCTTTATAGCATTAGGGTCCTGCAAAGGGACAAATTTCATGCTCAGTGCTCAGTGAAAAATGTTACTGACAGTGCTGATCAAGTTGTATGACCCATTCACTCACCAAGAACCTCTTTCTGAAAGCAAAAAGATAAAAGAGCAAAATATAAACATCATGAATACTGTTACATCTACCATAGGAAAAGCCTTTATTTTCGTGGACACATGAAGTCAGTGTGTTCTCTTCTTTATTACTTTCAATCAGTCCATATTTACTTTGCCACATGGGGCTTCAACTCCATTGATTCTCAAGTAATAGTATGCAGATAATATTCAGGCCAAGTGTGGATATGTTGCTAACTAAAACAATGGCCACTAATCTGCAAAGTTCCCCCTACCTAAGAGGAGGTTTGCGCCCAAGCTTATGTTAACATCACATATTGCATCAGTCAGCTTTCCTGCTGCTGGGCCAAAATACCTGACACTGGTAGCATGAACCAGAGAGGCTTGCTCTGGCTCTCGATGTCAGGGTTCAGTCCATTGCGGGCGGCTCCACTGCAGAAGCACCATGGTGGAGGGGCGAAATGGGGGAAAGCTGCTCCATTAGGAAGCAGGGAAGCAGAGCCTGGAGGAGTGCTAGTGAGAGATGGACCTCCAGGTGGTGGTCACTCACCTCCTCTAAATATCCCCAGCTCCTGATGGCACATTCATCCAGGAACACCAGTGAACACCAGTCCACTCATGAGTGTCACGGCCCCACCACCTTTCCAGGAGTCCCCTCATTCAGTCCAGTTCATAAATAAGATTAACCAGTGCTGTGTTTTGCAGTCCATAGGATGCTCTCAGGTTTATCTGCTGGAGATGAAGACAAGTAGACAAGTATCTGCGTTTTGGAGATCTCAGTCCTTACTGTGTGATAAGAGACAGAAATAGCTGGTGTGAAGAACCATTGACAGGTGGTTGACAGGAAGTAGCCCTCAGCGCAAATGAGCAGGAGGTCGCCACATCTAGGAGAGAACAGGGCTGAATCTCACCTCACACTGTTTCTGTGTATGAGTGTCTCAAAGAACTCCTGAGAGTTACAGCCTTTTACTAAAGGTTAACAGTGGCTAAAAATGGCCCTTTATCTATAGCTTCCAGGTTTGTAAGAACATTTAAGGAGGAAGAAAGAAATTTTTTGCTTCAGAAAGAGTTTCAGTGGCCTCAAGGTAGACATTTTCCTTAGAAAACAGAGCCAGCAACTCTTCAGTGCTTCTCCTGAGTTTCCCATATGCATAAAAGCTGAATTACAGGAGCAGCCTGACATCCTAGAAAAACTGCCAAGGACACATTTATCCAACATTAGGCACTTGGGGATGTGGCTGCTTCCTGGGGCCTCAGCTCTCTGGATCCTTTTACCTTAGGAAGCCTTTAGATCACCACCTCCCTTCTCTTCAGGGAGTCTGTAAGAGCTGGCCTCTCAGGACCACCTCTCTGCCCTCAGTGTGACCCTTCAGCCCATGACTCATTGGGGTGCCGGCAGGTTATGGGTTCTCAAGGAGATCTTTTACACTCTGTCTTTGCCTTTACCAAGCCCCTCAGTGTACTGGTTTGCTCTCAGGGTGGTCTCTGCCTCCTTCCTTTGAGATCAGCCTCATGGGTTTGCAGCAGTTTGCATTCCCCTCCCTGCTCCAGGCCAGGCTGCTCTTCCCCTCCAGCTGTCTTCTCCTTCAAGCCCAGACACCTGGGTCTTCTGCAGCAAACATGCTTGTCCATTTCCTCTCATTTCCTGCTCTTAATCTCTTGTTCTTGCTCTGTCTCCACAATTTCGTGCAATAGTTTCTTCACAACAGATTTCTGGTGTCCAACCAGGGAATTTTTCTGTCTTATTTTCTCATTTTTTTTCTATGACGTCCTATACTCTCCTCATAGGCTTCCCCAACCATAAACTATATCTCAGCGCTTTCCCCACTTTCTCCTTCCCAGCACACACTTCTCACTGAGCTCCAAGCACCATGCTCTGCAGCTAATGTCCCAGACAAGCTCTTGCTCTTTAATACAAAAATATGGAAGCCATCTTTCCTTCACTGTGAGAACACATCCGTGCATGGGTGTAGCTGTATAATCTTCCTCCCATGAATAAGATACAGAGATTCCAGCTGAGAGGTCTAGGATGAACCCAAGACTCAAGCCCTTCTCTATGTTTTTAATAATCAAAGTGGAGAATCACTGCCTCATCCTGTCATACAAATGCAACAAGTGTACCCAAGATCTTTGCAGCCAGACAGTCTCCATGAACGCAATGGAAAGATCAGACTGCACCGAGCCTCCTCCAAAGTTAGATTTTAGATTGATCCAGGCATCAATTATGAGTCATCTCAATCCCCCGCCAGTTCCTAAAAAGTTACTGACTTCTCTCATCATGTGGCTAGGATGCATTTCTCAAGCTAATTGCCTCTGCAACAGAAGGAAATTTCCTAAGTTCTCCTGGGCCTGTAATTAATGGCTCCATTTTCCTTGTTCTTTATTAAAAGTGTCCAAAGACTTTGCCTTAAATTTGAATGGAAGCACACTTTTTAAACTGAGGCCCTATCTTTCATCTTAGCCTCCAGTGGACATGAAAAGGCCAATAAACTTTCTTTTTATGAAACGACTCACACTGTTGAAAACATGAATAAAATCATGCCTTCATCTTTGTTCTCTGGTTAAATGGTCCCCAATTAATTAACAGAAGTGAAGAATACTGGAAAGAACCTCAAGGGTCTTTTGGTCTAATGTTTTCAAACTTTGTTTTTCTGCAGTGGGTCTTATTATTAACTTCAGTCTTCATCCTACTGTATGAAAATTGGTACAAAGAGAGCTGCTTTAGTCTCGTTCTGGGACACAGTCCCTGTGCTCCAGTAATGGGGGCACCTGCAAAGGAACTGGGGTACTTTGAAAAATGGAATTTGAAAATTGCTTTTGTGCTCCCGCATTTCAATTTTATGCACAAGGAAGCTGAACTTCTGGAGTTCTGTGTGGACTTTCAATTTTCTAGTAATAGTGGAAATATTACTTTGGGGTAATATCATAAAATATTTAATGAGTAGGCAGAGGGAAGTTTGTTTTGGCTCTGATTTTTAATAAACAGCCAGCCCTTTGCTTTAATGAGTAACTGATGGTAAGCACAGGGATAGATTACACTCCTGCTAACCAGGAGTATTTTTTAGGATGAAATGGGAAGAAGACCAAGAGAAGGGGGGTGGGGTTCCGGGAAGAGAGTGGAAGCACTGAGATATGTTATGTATCATTACTGCAGATGTGTACTCATAAAAATGGAAATTGAAAAAGGAGATTGCCTAAGGTTAGAGAATATAGATGAAGCTGAAATGTGAAGATTTCCTTTCAGTGTGTGTCTGTGACACATAAGGAACACCTTCGCCAATGGGAGTGGATCACATGCACACTACATCTTCATCCTTCTTCCTTCCTCTCCTCTCCTTTCCCTCTGCACCCTCCATCTCCAGGTCACTTGCCCATCTGAAAATTGTCTGCCTCCCCATTTCTTAGGTTTACATTTTTCTTCACTCTTTAAATTTTTTATACTATGGGTTTCTTATATAAGAGAACACATGTGATATTAAATTTCTCTGGCTGATTTACTTTGCTTACAAACACTAAGGACATTTGAACCTCTTTGCAAAGCAGCCCTGGGCGGCCACCCCATCATGGCACCATGGCAAACCTGCTAAATGTTCTAGAAGGCTGTTGTCTTACTCTTGGGTCCTGACGGGTGTGTAGAAGGTCACTGTCACTTTGTCCTCAAATGTTGTTCTCTGACATAGAGTACCGAGAATTTTAACTATAGAGACTCTCTTTTATTTCCAGATCTTGATTTTTCATGAAACGTGAGTGCAGTCAGTGATCTTCATTAGGAAAGTGGGCAGCCAGGTTTTGTCTATGTAGACACAGGGCTCTGAAATACTCGAATCCTTTCTTCCTTTTCCCTTCCCACTATATTTCTCTTAAGCTTTCTCTTAAGCAAGGCAATTTTTAAATCTACTGTTTGGTTTTCAGCATGATTTCGTTTCTAATTTTCCTTTTCTTCCAGCACCTAAAGCATAAACCAAGAAATAGCGAGAAGCCTAGCAAATACAACATGGTAAGAACAACCTCCAGGAAGATGGATTTCTTATGAAGTCAAAACCGAACCAAGGCATAAAAGAACCCTGAAAAGTGTAATAATCTGCATTTTTTTCATGCAAATATTCTCTATTACTTACATCTCATGTGTGAAGGGAAAGGGTCACACACTTGTGAGAGAGGAGAGAAATGGTCAGCGTTCCTCCAGGCTCTTGAGCTTTCTCCCCTCCAGCGCCTTGAGCAATTCTGCTTCACCCAGACTGGCCTTGCAATGAAACAGCAGCTGGCTGGGTAAGTGGACCTGCCCCTCGCCCTCATCCACCTGCAGTCTACAGTGCTTTGCTTGTGCTCTTTGCGGGTGGAATGCAGTGAGATATTTCCCCCTAGCTTGCACCCTTGGTAGTGCATCAGAAAATCAGAGAATTTTTCTCAAGGACATGTTGAGATATAACTGTGCCTTTTATGAACTGGCCATTCCTTCCTGGTTGAATATCTCAATCCTCTTGTTCTTGGCGAAATAGGAATCACCGGGGTCATTCTTATAATGTCCTAGATCTGTGATTCCTGGGCTGTGATACCCAGGGGATTTGGGTTTTGGGGATTTGGGGTTCTCACCTGCTGTCTTAGCCTCTGGTCACAGTCTAATTGTGTGGCCTTTCTTTTGTAGGAGGAGTTCCTCTAGCATAGCACTTCCTCAATGTCATATAACTTTTCAAGCTCTTTACGGTTATTATCCCAGTTATTCCTCTACAACAGCGTTATGATTTAGGTTGTATAACTTTCACCATTTTACAGAGTAAGAAATAAAGCTTCAAGAATTTAAGTAATCTACCTGAAGTGAAACAGCAGCGGTGTGGAGATGTGATTTGGAGTAAGACAACAGGATTCCGAGTCCATAATTCTGTCCACTTCTCTGAACAGACTCTCTGTATTTCTAAAACCCTAATTATCTTAATTCAGAAGTTTTCTGTAAACTGTCTTGGTAAACTTTCTAGTTGTCTTCCCTCTGATCAGGAGGATGGATGGTATCTTTTTCGCGTTAATCTTGATTCTTCATATATTTTATAAAAAGGTGTCAGCCATTCAGGGAACAGGTCTATAAAACATAGTGTAGTATTAGTTATCCATGACTCTGTAGTATTAGGAAAGTTATACATTTCTACCTATCATCTATCTTTAGATCTAAGTGGATAGTATTTTATCTGCAACTTTTTAAAAAAATACTTTATACATGATTCTCCAATTAATCTCAAGACTATTAAGTCTTTTGTAACTTGAGATATTCTTAATTTGAGAACAGTAAAAACTGTGATGAATTAAAATTTTTGAAATTTAGTAGATTAGCAACTGCTGGTCAACTTAAACAGAAGCTGAACTGAATCTGTGTGGTACTGAAAGTGGAGTTAAATTTAAGAAAGCACAAGAAATCTGTCTATAACAATAAAGACCTTGAAAACCCAGCCAAGAACCTAGATCCCATGGCAACAATCTCCATGAGTCCAGCTGAAAACCCTGAGCCCATGACAATGAGCCATGCAAGTCTATCCCATGGAACTGCACTGGAGAGGCCCAAAGTTCAGTGGTAGAAGCTAGAAACTCTAGCTCAGATGGTAGAAAATTCCAGTAAATATTTTAGCATAACAAAAGACTTGTAAAATTTGTATGTAAACATGAATAGAGATTATTTTCTTGAATAAGAAAATGATGATGAGGGTACTGGTCCTAACAGATAGGAGAGCTCAGTATTAGTGCAGGGGTGGAGAAATAGGTCAATGAAATAGGATAGCTTTTCTAGAAAGGGACTTGTAAGTTGACACTTGATCTGTAACAGAAGTGGAACTGTTGGTCAAAGGGAGATAAATGACATGGGAAGGCAGGTTGTGGTCCTTATATAAACAGAACCAGAAAATAAAGCAAAATTGTATTCTCTCTTAGATTTTGTTCTGAATCCTGAGACAAGGTTTTGGATGCAAGTAATTCAAGAGGTGAATCCTGGAAAGCAAAGGCAGGCCATGGGAGAGGAAAAGAGAGAAGCGGAAGAAATCAGGAATGTGCTTATGAGTCAGTTACCTCCATGGTGGATGGAGGTTCTGGCTTCTGGGGACAGTCTGAGACACTTCACAGAATATGCTTCAGAATTTAAATGGTAAGGAAGCTTGAATATTAACTGATCAATGTTAACTGACCAATTCTGATCCTTTTTGTACTTGAACCTTGCGACTAGGGCTAGGATTTGGCTACTGATCACTGAAAAAACATCACCCTAACATTTAGTAACATAAAGCCTTCACTCTATTATACCCACAGATTCTATGAACAGGAATTTGGGTATGATATAGCGGAGCTGGCCTGTCTGTGTTCCACAATGCCAGGAGACTTAACTAAGGAGTCTCAAATGACCAAGTATGACTCGAATAAAAGGGACTAGAATTGTCTCCCAAAACTTTTGGCCCTCAATCTTGGATGAGCTAAAGTCTGGGGTCATCAGAGACGCTATGGGTTATGTTTTCTAGTACCCTGGATGGTTACAGGTATCTGGTTTTCTTGTGTTGTGCTTATGCCTCTGAGACTGAGCAAAAAGGAAAAAGTTCCATGCACAATTCCAAGAGGGCTAAGGAAAACTTGTTCCATCATTCATCCTGGTGAAATCACCAAACCAGCCCAGATACATATGGAAGAAGATACTGTTCCATGTCCTGATGGGAGGATTGTGAAAAAACTTATGACCATGACCTCTCTGGAATTTCTGTCCTACCTGTGGCACAGGAAGAATGTGTTCATACAGATGGAGAACAGTCCCAAGTAGGCAGATGTAAGTATTGAGGTCCACCACTGCTGGACACAGCAACTGCCCAGCAGAGCTGAACAGGGCTTCTTGGGTAACAGAGATGGGCGTGAGCACAGCTGCATGGGAATGTGGTCCATCATTTGTACCACAGAGATCCACTTGCTCTCTGTTTTAAGTCCTCTGTGTTGCATCTCTGGCTCTTCAAGGAGTTAGCTTTTCACAATATTAAGAAAAGGTTTCAAAAATGTCTCACGCTTTAGAGTGACAAGCTACGATTCTCCCCATCGAGCAAATCTTAAAAATGAAGTGAGTGAGTGTTCAGTTTCCTCCATTTCTTACTCTTGCCCAGCGCTTCTGCTTTTACAGGTTGCTGGTCCAGTGGAGGGAAAGTGACCATCACCCTGCTGGGCCTGGCTTCTAGTTATCTCTCCGATTTCCTGTCATTGCCAGGCACATAGGAGCCAAGAGGCCCAGCGGAGAATCTCGAGTTCCTGGAATGTTTGTCTCTGACTTAAAAAATAATAAAGAAACCTTAGTTTCACACTATATATATTGCATATTTACTGCTACATTAATCTTCTCAGTGTAATGACCTCGTTATAATTTTTTTTTTTTTTTTTGGTCTTTTCAGTCACTGGGATCGGGCACCCAGGAACTGATCAGGAACTCATCAGAGTATAGTCATAATTTTCAATTCATTGCATGTTCCTAATACCCTGACACAAAGGCTACAGCTTGGGAACCAGAGCTTCTAAACCTGCAAAACCTAACACTGAAATGGAAATGGGAATTTCCTGGTGGGCTAGTTGGGATGATGGTAAGATAATTAACCCTATTTCCATTCTGCAATTTCCAAACCTATACAATCTAAATATTTGTGGCACTAAAAATAAAATGGCTATTTGATTTACCATATGCAATGCAGTCTGAAAGAAAAAGCTGTAAAATTAAAGTGTTATTCCTAAGACAGTACTTGGATGTGATTATGTTGTTAACACACTCATTTTACACATCAGTGTGATATTTCCATACCGCAAACAGAGAGCCTGGATTGAATC